CAATGACGAATCGGATTTTTCCCAACCCAAACGCGTCTGTGCAATATGAACTATGAGGACAAACTAAGAATCGAAACACATTAAAACAACTCGGCAACGACACATAGTAACAAACACAGAAGAATTAAAAAATAAACAACCAAAGCTTTGAATCGAACGGATACGGCTAAACACAGACAGTCAGTGGGACACGAGACGGAATAACACACAAAAAATTCAACTGCGATTTGAAACGGGAGTAAAAAATGAAGAACCAGTCATAGCCGAAATCGTAGGGTTTATGATGTGGGGGACCAACAAAGCTTTGAGTTGAGCTTCAACTAGCGAAAAACAAAAAAATGGAGGTTCGACCTTACCTTGGCGACGAAATGAAGAAGAACTCCACCTTACGAAGAACTCGAAGACGCTCTGCAAAATCGATTTTTAGGGCAAAGGTTGTCTGATGAATTTAAAATTAAATGATGGGTTAATGTAATAAAATGGATGTACAGGGGTATTTAGGTATATTTACATGTATTTTATGAGGGCAATAGTGGGATGAACAGTGCAGGATTAAAAAATCTCGGGGTCTAGGTGGGACAAAATTTATCTGTGAAATTCTGATAAACGCGTGGGCCCCGCCGCCACATCGCTGCCACATCAATTAGTCATGTCCTTATACCTGATTGTAAACGTCGGATATTTGGGTTATCCTACACTGTCACCCAAAGTAAACGCGCCCTTACAATTCAATAGCTAATTGAAGGAAACAAATCAAAAGTCACAAATATATTAGTCAATTAGTGTCTCACTATATAAACTTACAAAGAATTAATAGTGTCTCACTATATAAACTTACAAAGAATTAAAGGGTTATATTAGTAAAAGTATTATTAAAATACCTAAGTTAGCTAAATAATATTTATGAAATATCCGAACCTAGATTATTAATTATTAATATATCAATATTATTTGTCCAAATCTAATTAGGAAGCATGATTTTTTGCCAAATAGGATTCTGAAGCACCAGAAGCAGTCAGGTAGCTCGGCGCATCTGGGAATAATAGATAGGGAGAATTTTCTCCATGGATTATTCTAGCGAGGCCGGCCCGATTAAACTCTGCAAACAGGTATATTGGGACTTGTGAATTTGTTGTTGTAAGAATCAGTGATTAGCCTAGGAATCCGTAGTCGAGATAATTTTGTAACCTCAACAATTTGAACAATTTAATGTAGTTCTTGTATTGCCCTATAAAGTAATGGTAGTGTAGTCCAATCATTAGACTTTGATTATGTCTTCTTTACTGTTTTGATGCTGATCTCGTATGTTGTGCAATTGCTATCTCGTCGAGACCTTGATCAGTCACTTGAAATTGTGTTGTTGTGCTATGTTAATTTGAATTTATAAGTTCCTACGGGAGGCAGCAGTGGGGAATTTTCCGCAATGGGCCAAGTTGTACTTACTGCGTTACTAAGACTAGGTTACATGCTCAACACTTTGTACGCCTTTTGATATTTACATCTCTCGTTCTCTGTAGGGTAATCGAGAATGCCTGAGATGATAGAGATGGAAATCAATGGAAAATTCATATGTTGTACCGGTTCAGGTATCTCCAAAAGGAGGAGAATTTTGGAATCTGCTGCTGATAGTCCGCAACATGGAGACTTTAATATACTGATGTCACTACTAGTTTTCAAGATGGGCTATGGCCTGAGTGGCTCCTGGTGGAAATTCTGTGCAGGCTCCCACTTAAGATGGTTTTTCGATGCAAAAGTGTCTCAAAACAGTGTCTTTCTCTAATCTCGGATCCTTTTTTTGCCCGCTTCTATAACATCACCTCTCGAGGCTGGCAACCCTCTGCTTTCTCGGGCTCGGTCTAGCGCCGCCCTCCGTGGGTCTTTATTTACCCAAAAATGTGTGCTGAAGGTTGTGAGATGATCCCTTTTTCAAGGAAAAACTAATGGGTATTATGTATCCGTTTCCAAACTCCCCTTCCCCTAATTATTGTGTACTTCCTATTCCGAAATCTCAGCAGCAATGTAAGAAGAGGGAATTGTATGTCATCCAAGCCATTCACGATGGGCTTGTGCTGTACACGTGGACAAATTTTGTTACGGCCATAGATGAGCTGTACATCTGCAATCCCATGACCAACCAGTGGTTTCCACTTCCTAAACCCAAATATAATCCAAAGGCAAATCTCAGCTATGGTTTCATCACAAGGGTCGAAGACGGAATCTTAACCAGCTATAGGGTCGTGCTTGTCCGTTGTCATCCCCAGAAACAATTTTTCATCGAGTTCGTGGTGTTCTGTTCAGAATCGGGAAAATGGGTAGAATATACTGTTCACTCCACGCGTGCAGTTCGGGTTTCTTATATCAAGACGAGTGTGTTCCTCAACGGGAAACTGCACTGGAACGATTGTGAGCTTGGGCTTATAGCATACGATCCTTATACGAGTCCTGATGAGATGCACTTGATAGATTTTCCCAATGATCGATACAGAGGTTATAAAACAGACACATACATCGTGAACTTCAGCTCGTGTGGCGTCCACCAAGGGCTTCTCAAGTATTTTGAAATTATCGATCCATTCGGTCCGCGCAGCTTCTCGCAGCTCAAGATATGGGTGCTCGAGGACTATGATATGGGTGGATAGTGTTTGCAGCATATGGTTGCGTATGAAGATATTAGGGTTGGTGGTTGTTTGTATCGCCGACCAAATGGTGCGTACCTCGTTTGTTTCGATCCGTATGATGCGGACATAGTGTATTTGCGGTGGTGCAGGGACTTGGTCTCGTACGACGTGCGGACGAGGGAGGTGAGACCGCTGGGCCTTCCTCATGAACGCATGAGTGATGCGGGTCTATGCTTCCCACTTGTGCTCCCACCATGGCCTATTTCTATTCCTACCTCTCTAATACCAAAGCTATAGGGAGATCACCATCATTGGTATGAAAGTGAAATTTTCCTTTGGTGAGTGGGTGTTGGCAACTTAGAGAAGAGTGAAAATGAATACAAAATAAATAAACAAATGAGGTAAATATTCGATATTTTTCATTTTTGCTTGCTCTTTCCTTTTCTAATTATAATTTTAAATTATCTTTCTTCATCACGCCATGAAAGATAGCAGTGAGATCATTTTAGTTTGATTGGGAGTCAAATCACATTCTAACATACGTGCTATTTGCTAAGAGTATCTCTAGTGGATGAGTCAATGTCAAAATGTCAATGCCACATGGCAGTAATTAATTGAATTGTGATTTTTTATAGCATCACTGTTGACATCGTAGATTATAACAGTGTAAAACTGTCTACAATGCTTTGCTTTCCTTCTGACGTCATTTGTATGTGCACATTTATTTATTGTCTATAACAAAAATGATAAAACAACTTATAAAAATTAACCGGACTTATTGGATAAAACATATTAAGACTCCAACTTTGAGATTTTAATTATTTAATTACATTAATTTTATACGTAAAAAAGAAAAATGGCTTTCATTTTCCCACAAAATAAATAATAAAAGTAGAAAAATAAAAAATTTTAATTTAAAAAATTAGCTTTCATCTTCC